GTGTGTGTGTGTGCGTGTGTGTGTGTGCGTGTGTGTGTGTGTGTGATAGCCCCCCCCCGCCGCAGTGCGGAGGGGGTCCGGCGTTCCCGGAACGCTGGACCCCCTTCGCGCTTCGGGGGAGCGAGGGGTGCGCAGGCTTGGTGTTGTGGTCATCGAGGGGGTGGGGCGGACCCCCTTCATCCCCCACAGCACAAAGGGGTTCCGGCGTTCTGGGAACGCCGGACCCCCTTCGTGCTATGCCCATCGTCGGATCGGATCTCGGACCCCCGTCCTCCCCAGCGGCACAAAGGGGTCTGGCGTTCCCGCACACAGGGCGTCCGGCGTTCCGGGAACGCCGGACCCCCTTTGTGCTGTGGCCATCAAGGGGCGCAGACGGACCCACTTCTTCCCCCGCAGCACAAAGGGGGTCCGGCGTTCGCGGAACGCCGGATCCCCTTGGAGCTCTTGCCGGTGACAACGAGGGAGGGGGCCCCTTACTCCTTGGCAGCACCGACATGGGTCCGGCGTTCCGGGAACGCCGGACCCCCCTCGGTGCTGCTAGAGGGAGGGGGAGGGATGGACATGAAAGGGGTCTGGCGTTCCCGTCCTCCCCCGCCGCACATAGGGCGTCCGGCGTTCCGGGAACGCCGGACCCCCTTTGTGCTGTGGCCATCGAGGGGCGCAGACGGACCCACTTCTTCCCCCGCAGCACAAAGGGGGTCCGACGTTCTCAGAACGTCGGATCCCCTTGGAGCTCTTGCCGGCGACGGGGAGGGAGGGGGCCCCTTACTCTCTGGCAGCACCGACATAGGTACGGCGTTTCGGGAACGCCGGACCCCCCTCGGTGCTGCTAGAGGGAGGGGGAGGGACGGACATGTGGTCGGGGGTCGGGCGTTCTAGGAGCAAATGACCCCCTTTCATAAATGCCCCGAGGGGGGCGGGCGTTCTGGGGACGCCTGACCCCCTTTCATAAACGACAGTCGGGGGTCGGGCGCTCTGGGAACGCCGGACCCCCTTTCATAAACGACGGTCGGGGGTCGGGCGTTCTGGGAATGCCGCGCCCCCTTCCATAAACGTCTGTCGGGGGTCGGGCGTTCTGGGAACGCCGGACCCCCTTTCCGGAGACGTCGGGGGTCAGGCGTTCTCGGAACGCCGGACCCCCTTTCAGAAACGAGGGTTGGGGGGGCGGGCGTCTAGGGAACGCGGGACCCCTTTCCAGAAACGAGGGTCGACTCCACATGCGAAGCGCTTCTGTTTGTTCCTCATTTGTTCTTTGCTTGTGCGTTTCCTTTGTTTGTGCCCTCTAGGTCAACCTGCTGCTTCGTCCTCTCGGGCATATGGCAGGTCAAAAATCTACAACAAAAAACCATGGGCTCTGGATTGGGTTGGTGGTCTGCATAGGCCTGGGTGTGGGGCCGTTGTCTTCTTGAGCAACGACAATGGTGCGACGTGGTACTGCTGTGGGGGTGTTGAGGAATCTGAGAGCGCCAGGAATACCTACAACGGGAGGACCTTCAGGACCTTCTTTCTTACGTCAGTTTTCGACAAGGATGGGAAAAATTGGGTCAAGGAAGACAAGAAGGTCGGCCTTGACTTGCGGCTCTTTCAAGGCTACGGCGTCAAGGCTTTCTCCATGAAAGCGTTTGACGTGCGCGGGGACGGCACCGCGCTTCGCATGCTGACTGCGGAACAGTTCCTCAGTAGAACGAACGGCTACTGCGTCACTGGTTGCCTTCCTGTCGTTGAAAGTTCCTTGGAGCTCACCAAACCCTTGGTGAAATTCAGCAGCCCGGCGGACCAACTGCCAGGCGTTGTTAAGGAGTACAGGGAAGCCTTCTCGAGGCTGCCTCTGGACCAGCAAGCCGACTGCGCTTTCGTGCCCTTTGTCACGAGCTCGAGGAAATCGCGACAGACGTCATCCGCGCCGGTTGGGAAGAGGAAACAGTTGGCTGCTTGTCCAGCTCCGGCTTTGCCAGTCGCGTCGCCCTCGCCCTTGCCCACGGTGAGGGGAGGTCATGATATCGCTCAATGTTCGAGCGAGGCTACGGAGTACGATGACAGAAATCTGTACGGACGCAATGCTGCGCGTGACAGTGCCCAGGAAGGTGCGACTGCCCTCACTGAGCGAAACGAGGAGGAAGAAGATGGGGGAAGCTGCGGTCCACGTGAAGACGACGGTGATGACGAGTATATGGACGTTGGGGATGAGAACATGCAGGACCAAAACATGCTTGCCGATGACGACGTCGGTGTCACATCGGAGCATGGCCCTGGCGACATCCCCACCGGTTCTGTGGGAGCGGTTGCTGGTCGGCCCTTGTCGTCCCCTGCGATATGGCATTCGCAAGGCGGGAGTCAGGGTGGGCATGACTCGCAGGAGCACGGAGGATCAAAGTCGAGGAAAAGGACAAGAGAAACTTCTCCTTCTGCTTCCGCTCACAAGAGACAAGCGAGGACTGACGCTATTAATGAGGCTCGTGGAACTCTGGTGGCATCCCAGGAGGCGAGACCTCCTCGGAAGAGCAGCCAGGGGGGAAGATCTGGCGGTCGTGGCGGCGGCCGTGGTGGCGCAAGAAAA